TGGGACTGCTGTGGTTGGCAACATCCTCCTCCTGACGCTCATCCAGGCTGATAGGCGCCTGCACACCCCTATGTACTTCTTCCTCAGCCAGCTCTCCATCATGGACTTAACAATGACATGCACAGTGGTACCCAAGATGGCAGCCAACTTCCTCTCAGGCAGGAAGTTCATCTCCCTGGCAGGCTGTGCCTCTCAGATCTTCCTCGTGGTCACGGTGGGAGGAGCTGAGTGCTTCCTCTTGGCTGTCATGGCCTATGACAGGTACATGGCAGTCTGCTACCCACTGAGGTACCCCGTGCTCATGAACTGGAAGGCTTGCACTTCCCTGGCCATGGCATCCTGGATGGGTGGAATGGCAGACAGTGTGATTGACGTGGGGATGGTCTTCAGCTTCCCTTACTGAGGATCTCTAGAGGTGGACCACTTCTTCTGTGAGGTCCCAGCCCTGCTGCGCCTCTCCTGTGCCGACACCTCACTTTTCGAGGACCTCATCTATGCATGCTGTGTGGTGATGTTACTGCTGCCTCTTGGGGTCATTGTGGCTTCCTATGCGCAGGTCCTCACGGCTGTGATTAGAATGCCCGCCACGGAGGGGAAACAGAAGGCTCTCACCACTTGCTCTTCCCACCTGGCGGTGGTGGGCCTCTACTACGGGGGAGCCATATTTAGCTACATGCAGCGGGCCTCAGCTAGGACACCAATGGGAGATAGAGCCACTTCCATCTTCTACACTATCCTCACCCCAATGTTCAACCCACTCATTTACAGCCTGAGGAACAGGGATGTAATCAGTGCCCTAAGGAAGATGCTCGGGAGGTGGGGCATGTAGGCAAGCCACCCACACACACCTTACTGCTCGTTTCTTGTCTTATCTGTTCCTTCCTCTGTCCAGGATTCCCTGTCATTCCCATTTTTCCTCTATGCCATTTTGGGACCTCTCTGGCTAGATAGGATTAGGCTGGGAGCTGGGAGCGATCTGCTAACACATAGGACACCTGTGAGGAGGAGGATCGAGTAACAGACGGCTCTTGTTAGCCTCACATGACTCTTCCTCCTATGAGAACCAGCATTTTTGAGGATTCAATGCCGGTAGTGACTTTAAGAACTAGCAGATACCCTGATTATGTCCTTCGGAGGTTGGCAGACACAGCTTCCCTCTAGGCTACATATTTAAGCTGGGGATGTGGCTCGCCTAGCAAGCATGCACAAAGCACTTGACGTCTTGCCCAGCACATGAACCAGACATGTTAGCCAGTGTCTATAATCCTTCCTCTTGGGAGGTAGAGGCAGGAAAACCAGAAATTCAAGGTTATTCTTAGCTACACATTGAGTTCCAAGCCCAAGTCATGAGCTGGCCCTGTTAAAAACAAACAGCAAACAAACACAAAAAACCCACAGTGAACCAAGATTGGAAACCTATTCACAACTCATCTGTGTATCAAAATTTGGTGAACAGAGCTTGGTTATGTAAGAATTGAGAAACTTTGGGCAAAATCACTCGTCTGTGGATTTTCCATTCTTCATCTGTGCAACCCTGGATGTTGATAAAATCACACCCAAAGTTCCTTGGCATTCACTAAAAACTAATTACTTTCTGTGAAACTCCATTTTTATGTATTTATTATAGGAAACACGGTTTTGCATCTTTCCCCAATCGTACCTATTTTTTTTTCTATTAAAAGATGGAGTTTCAGCGTGTTGCCTAAGCTGACCAGGGCTCAAGTGTTCTTTGAAGTCATCTGATATTAGACCCATAACACAACAATAGAAACGAGACTAAGTCATACACTACAAACAAGACAGGCAAACTGTGTTGCAACATGACTCACTGACTTCAGCCACAGTAAAAGAGAGAGCTCTGAGCCTCAGTCTGCATACGGCTGCTGGTTGCTGGACAAATGGGAGCACTAGGCTTTTATTAACTTTGGGAGGCATAAGTTGAAATATGTTACAACTTCACTGGTCAGGGCCACGGTCTCAAAAGTTGGCTGTCTCTTGTGCAAGCTTTGTGACCTTGTACTTGGTGGGGGTGATGAGCAAGGACTTTCCTCAGAAACTGCTGAAGGTCAGTTGGTGTGATTGTCTTGTGTAAACATCCAGCTGCATAGGGCTGGAAGAATTACAATGTTTATGTTGACAAGAAGCCTAAGGTCAAGGTGGAAGAAACCCAAGCCAGCTCCAGTGGACAATGGGCTAAGTTAATCATGCATTGCAGTCCTGGACTGCATTTCTCAAATCGTCAGCATAGCTACATGAAGAGTCAAGCAGTGTATTCTGAGAGGTTCTGAAGCAGCAAAGGACACAGACATGCTAAACAGATAGAGATACCAAGCTTTGCATCCCAACTGAGCCATCATATCAATATCAACATGTTCAAGTGAAGAAACAGTGTTTTTAGCAAACACAGCCTCAAGTTTCTGCAGAGCGACCTTGATAATGGTTGTCATAACTCACATATGAGAAATGTTATCTATACTGAAGCTAGTGGGCAGCTGATGATGTACCACCCGGCTGTTCTGTAAACACTCTGGCTTTCCAGATTAATCCAGTGTTTCACAGAAGAGCCATGGAGCAAGATCAGAATAGAGGCAGAGGAGAACATAGATCATGTTTTTAATGCGTGACATGTTCAGAACCCAGAGTTTATTTTATTGCCTAGGGGTGGTCCCTGTGGTAAGACTAAGATACTTACCTGATGGTGTGGTACCATAGTCTGTATTCTGTCAGTTATATTTTAAATAAATGCTGATTGGCCAGTAGCCAGACAGGAAGTATAGGCCGGACAACCAGACAGGAGGTAGAGGCAGGTCAAGTAGAACAGGAGAATTCTGAGAAGGAGGAAGCCCATTCCTCTGGAGTCCTGACCCGACCACAGAAGAAATAAAATGTGACTGCCTCACTGAAAAAGGTACTGAGCCATGTGGCTAACACAGATAAGAATAATGGGCTAATATAAGTTATAAGAGTTAATAAGAAGCCTGAGCTAATGTGCCAATCAGTTTATAACTAATGTAGACCTCTGTGTGATTTCTTTGGGACTTAACGATTGTGGGAACTGGGTAGGACAGTAAACTCAGACAACAACCTGCCTTTGATCTTTTATTATCTATCCATCTGTCTGTCTGTCTGTCTGTCTGTCTGTCTATCTATCTATTTATCTTTGTTGTGTTGGGGACTGGGTCCAGGCTTTCCACACAGAAGGTAAAGGCTCTACCACCAAGCTGTACTCCTAGCTGGGGCTTTGTACCTTAAGAATGGAATCTTGGTGTATAAATGCTAAGAAAGCCGTATGGTATTGATTAGTAGGTTGGCTTTCAGCTTTCTGGGGACACAGTTAACAAGCAAGCGTGTCTATGTTACTGGTGCATGAAGAGCCGTTTGGCTTATATGCACATTTGGAAACAATTGCCATGGGATGTGGCACTCTCTCACAGTCAGAGTTCAAGCTGTGGGGGGTACAGAGACTACAAATACCTCACCCTACACAATCAAGAGAGTGCACAGGAAGACTGATTTGGGGGGGGGCGGTGCTAGGGATTGAACCCCATGTTAAACACACCTTCTTCCATTAAGCTAAATCCCTGGCTCCCAGAAATGATGAGATTGCTGCAGACAGGAAGTGGTGTTTCTTTTGATGTCTTCTTTCTTTTTTATTTTGGTTAAGATCCTTTGTATTATTTTTGCTTTATTTGAGATGGTTCCTGGTACTGCCCTGGCTGGCCTCAGACTCTACACAGTCAAGAATGACTTTAAGCTCTTTCTGTCTCGCCTATGTGCTGGGATTGTAGGTGTATACCTATGGACCACCAGTCACAGGCAGAGGAGTTGACTTCTGAAAAGACAGAGTATCCATGAAGACAAATACTCAGGAGGGACTTAGGAAGTACACTTCATGTGTTTTGCCTTTGAGACAGTTGTCTCATCCCACTTTTCAGACTGCTCTAGCCTTGACCTTATTTATGACCATTTTACTCTCATGTCTCAGCACTCCCACCCCTAATTACTGACATTACAGATATGCATCACCAAACCCAGGTCAAAGGAAAATCTTTAATATACGTTTTCAATAAAGACCTTCTTTAAACACATTGGACCAAAAGAAAATATCTACTTCATTATTCCAGCACACTCAAGACCTCCGTCGGTTTCCTGGGACTTCATAGTATGACAGGTAGCATGTGGGGAAGGAAACATGGTCCAGCCCTTAGGGAGTATAGAGTCTGGGCCAGGATCCAGAGTGTTCCAGCTAGAAATGGCCACTGAAAATGAATTCTAGAGTGGAGAGACAGACAGAGAATGAGAGCTTCCTGGCCAGAGAGAACCAGGCCCACCTCACACGGGGTCTCGTAAACCAGTTTGAGAAGTTAGAGCTCCGAACAAGAAGAGACAATATTTGCCCTAGGGTTGTTTGTTGCTTGTGTTTGGGAGCTAGGGACCCACTAGGCTAGCCCCAATCTCATTATCTGCCCTCATGCTGGGGTTACAGATGTGTACCAATATGCCCAGCTGGTCTGTTTTAGTAGGTCCATCCAGGCTGCTGTGTAGGGCCCACAGGGAAGTTCCTGCAGTAATCTGGGTTAGAGTTTATAGAGTTTGGTTCTGGGTAGAAAAGAAAGTGACCAGAAGTTAACAGGTTCTGGATACATTTTAAAGTTTAAATTAAAAGAATTTTCTACCTTATTGTCAGAGGAAACAATCGAGACAGAGTAGCATTAGCTTAGAATGCTTATGATGGAATAGGGTGCTCTGTATTTTTGTTGTTGTTGTTGTTTTGTTTTTTAAGACAGGATTTTTCTGGGTAGCTCTAGTTGTCCTGGAACTCACTCTGTAGATTAGGCTGGCCTCGCAATCAGAGATCCTCAGCCTCTGCCTCCCAAGTGCTGGGATTAAAAGTGCGCCACCACTGCCTGACTGTTTGCTTTTTAATGTGATGCTGAGCATCAAACGCAGAGCACATGCTAGGCAAGGCTCTACCACTGAGCTAAGACAAGTGTTCTACCACTGAGCTAAGACACGTGCTCTACCACTGAGCTGCATCTCCTGCCCAAGGAGGAAGCCTTTGCTCATCAAGTGGTAGTCATTCAACAGCTGACTCCCGAAAGTGGGCTGTAGCCATCCCTACCCCACTGTGAGTCAACCCATGAGAGACCCTGTCTGGACATGTTTGTGAAGAGCAGTATTTCCCTGAATGACTACAGCACTAATATTTCACTCAGAAAACCAGCATTAGCCTAAGTTTTTAAAAATAGGTTTGGGCTCTTAATCATCTTCCTTTGACCTGATGTCTCATCTCATCCTTGAGTATGCAAATGTCATCACTTGGTTCATCTTGCAGGTTATCATTGCAAAGATACTTTTCCCTTTCTTTTTTTTCCCCCCTTGAGGAAGCTCAAGGACAATTTTATTAGAGGCTTTTGCAAACTGGGACAGATGAGGTTAAAATTCTGGCAGCCACAAGGAGGGGATGGAGAAAACTCATGCCTTTTAAGTTAGGCATGGAGTGCAAATAGAAGCCGCTTTCTGAGAAAAGAAAAAGCACTCCCAAGAAAGGAAGGATGCCAAGGAGCGGAGGAAAGAGCCCTGAAGCCCTTGCCCTCACTTTAAAGAAGTATGCAAGATTGCTACTGAAAACTGTGGAAACTTCTTGCTTTCCAGCAGACTTTGCCCAGTGATTTTTAGCACCCATTACTCCTTTTGTCTATACTAGTTATTTCCACGATGTAAAGCTAATTGCTTTTTCATTCCACACCCTTTATCATTATCTTTTAGGTAGATTTTATTAGATTATTTTTTTAAAGGTTCCCCTTTGAAAAAAACAGAAAAAGAAAAACAAATTAAAGTGCTGGCATGGACTTATGCATCTGGATTTTAGTTGGTAGCTAATGCTGCATTATTTATTTTTTTAATTTTGGAGATTATAATAAAATTACAGTATTTTTCTCTTCCTCCCCCCCCAAGTCCTCCCCACATACTGTAACTCCTTACTCACTTTCAAATTCATGGCCTTTTGAAAATAAATTGTTATTACATGTGTACATGTATATGTGTATACATATATATTCCTAAATATAGCTTGTTCAGTCTGTACATTGTTGTCAATATGTATGGTTTTTTTTTTTTTTTTTTTTTGAGTAACACTGCATTCTTGCCCTCCTAGCCCTTCTTTTGCTGTGCTGGGGAACTAATGTGCTGCCCCAGGGAAAGTGTCCCTGGAGTTGAAGATGTGCCATTGTCCCTCAAGTTAGGCAAACCCTAACCCTAACCCTACCCGAGGCCCATTAGTGCCATTATGGATTTCCATGTTAATAATGCCACACAGAAGGTCAGGGAAGTCACTACAGACTGTAATATGTCTGTTTTGATTTTTTTAAAAAAATTATTTACTTATTCTAACTGACAAGCAAAAAATGTGTATGTTTGTGGTGGATATGGTTTTCATAAATGTGTGCGTGCTGGATTGGCTAAAGCAAACCAACTGACATCTAGACTACCTCACCTACCATTTTTATGGTGAGAACTCTTAACATTTTCTCTGGTTTTAAAGTATGCACTCCACAGTTACTAATCACAGTTCCCATTTGCCCAGCAGATCTAAACTAGGCTGCTTCCTATCAGTTTCTGCTGACTTTTATTTTATAGCCAAAATGGTCCAAGTTTTGGGCCTTCTTTACCCCAGTCCTGGAATCAGTCATTTCTCCCATTTCGTTTTAGGAGGAAATGATGTTTAACATTCAGATCTAGCCAAAGGTGAACTCATTACTTAGGAAATGTCATTACTTCTAGACAGAATATACAAAATTACACAAAATATGCAAAACCATACACAAATTAGCAAATACTTCTGACTTCTTTTCCATTCCCACAGTGCACACTCTATAGCCTTGCTATATACATAAAGGGTCTCTTTTTTGCCCGCTGTCCTTAAAATAATTATATATGCACAAATACGTATCCCAAGGGCCTCTGCATGCTTTGGCAGCAAGGGAGCAAAGCGCTGTTCGGGAGTTCAGGACACTGCCTAGACCTGGCCTTAAGGTCACCACAGCGCCTCATCACCAGCCCAGGCGGGGTCAAAGGGCTCATACGGCTGTAAATAATGGTCATTGTCGTCCTCTTCGAGGACATGTGGCCCTTTAACCGGCAAAGAGCAGATGGTCAGGGGATCCGGGTGTTCGCTACCATCGTGGGCTCGGGGCCTGAAGTAGGCGCAGAGCGCCCCAGAGAAAGTGTCGGTGAAAGCGAAGATGTGCGAGCCATCAGACGCATTGAAGAAGGACAGCTTCCCTGCCTCATAGTCCAGGAGGATGCCCACCCTCCGGGGAGGCACGCGTAGCGTCAGCGCCACGCGCTGCGGGTCCAGCACGAAGTACTCGCAGCTGTTCCACAGTCCCATCACCCAGTAGCCGGCGGCGGGGCTCAGGCGCACGGACCCCGAGCGCTCCACCGACTCCAGACAGGCGCCCAGGAACCAGCGGCTGCGCCGGCCCACGTTCACCTCCCAGTAGTGGCGGCCGCTGCAGAAGCGCTCCCGGCTCAGCACGCACGTCTGCTCCGAGAACCGCTGCGGGCCATGGACCAAAATACTGGGCGCCCCCGGTCGGGAGGACACGCTCTTAAGGTCGTCTGAGATCTCCAGGCTAAGGTGCGCTGTGGTGGGATCCAAGGTCACGTCCACTGAGCAGAAGATTAGGGTTAGTACCCACTGGGAAAGGTTCAGGTACCTCTCCTTCTTCCCTCACCTCCATCCTTGCCCTGCTCTCCCCCTCCACCCCTTCACTCCTCAGACGTCTAGTTTCTCCAGTTGGACCAACTGGTGGAATAGCAAACGCACACACTCTCGCACACACCCACTCTTTCAACTACCCCTTTTCCCAGGATGGCACACTCCTGAAGCCCATTCCTTTCCTAACAGAAAAGTCCCGAATCCCATTCTTGGGTTGCAAATAAGGTAGGTTCATGGGGGAGGTTCACTAGTGTGGAGTCAGGTCTTTTGTGGCTTCTGTTTCCTTTGATTTCACCACCAGGTCGCCTCCTCTTTACAGCAATTCTAGGACTCTTGAAACTACAGGGAACCTCTGAGACCATCTAATCCAATGACCTACACTCCAGCACCCATGCTCCAAACACATGCACTCGATGGTTGAGAAATTGGAGGATAGCCCCCAAATACCCACCCACCGGTTTCTTGAGTCAAAGTCTCCCTATATAACCCAGGCAGGTCTTGACTCGTGACCCCCTGCCTCAGCCTCCCCATGCTGGGATTTCAGTGTGTATCATGCCTCTGAGGGCCCCTTCTGAGGAATGATTTGGGAGATTCCTTTCCGACGCTGCCTTTCCTTCTGTCCACAGAAGCCAGAAACAGCCTTCCTTCCTGCCCTTAGGAAATGAACCTAGTAAACCCTTAAAACTGTGCCTCTTTGTGAACAGCTTGTGTTTGAAACGTGTGCACAAGAGAGCATGAAGCAGGCTGTATGTATATTCTGTTCTCACTTCCAGGAGATGGACTTGGCTCCTGGAAAAACCCTTCCTCCAATGTCAGACCCCTCCTCATCCCTTCTGTGCAAGACCCTGCCCACTTGTCACCAGTCGCACTTGGCAGCTTCAGTTACTTACCTGCATATTGTTGGGCCGCTCTCCACTCTGAAACCAAAGAGAGAGAAGGGACTCAGAGAGCTCAATAATTCTGGAACCTTGAGGGTGGCTTCCCTTGCTCAAGAGCTGTCCACAAATTAAATAACCTCGTCCCCACGTCTGAACTGGATTGGACAGGGGTCTAACGCTTGTGCTGGGTTCTACCAAAGTGGTATGTAACCTCGAGTTACATTGGGAAGATGGAACACAGAAGCAAGGAACAAGCAGCCTTGGTGCCCTAAAGGATGGAAATGAAACCTATCTCTGCCTGACCAAGCTCAGTCCTGGAGGCTCTGCTGAATGGGACTCTGTCCTAAAATGCCTTCTAGATACCCAGTCTTCTCTCCACAGTCTCCCTTTTTATTGTGGACCATTCTGAGTAGATTTTTCTCCAGTTTTCTCTTGTTCTGTTTTGGAACAAAGAGTTGATCCAAAGCGATAGAAACATTTTTTCAAGGTTCTAGGGGATTAACCCTGGACTCGAATCAAAACAGTCCATGGAACTTTAAAGATACACACCTCTTACATGAATAGCTTAGTTCTAGCAAAACATTCATGCAATGTTAGTTTGCCTATAAATTTTTAACCATTCATCCAAATTAACTTGAGAATTTTTAAAGGAACTGTGTAATTTTTTATTTTTAAAACCTAAAAACCGCTGGAGAGTTGGCTCAGCGATTAAGAGCACTGGCTGCTCTTCCAGAGGTCCTGAGTTCAATTCCCAGCAACCACATGGTGGCTCACAACCATCTGTAATGAGATCTGGCGCCCTCTTCTGGCATGCGGGCACACATGGAGGCAGAATGTTGTATACATAATGAATAAATGAAATCTTTAAAAAAAAGTTCATTAACTTTAAAAGGGAAGTAGATGTGGGGGAAGAAACCTTGAACTTCTAGATGCTATCAACGCCATAATGGTGAAAACAAGGAGTGGGGAGTGAGCCCAGGGACAAGAGCTTCCACACTGAATAGATGATCAAGGTGAAAGCTTGCCTCCATGGGAGAATTATGGCTGGTATACTAACTGGCACTGAGAAGACCCATTCAGTGCACACAGACAAGTCAGTGCATTATCATCACCTCACACCCAGTGTGGGGATTGCTGTAGGGCTGATTAATGACCTATACACAAAACACGTTATTGCGCTTTGGATCTGAAACATTCTCCAATGGCCCCAAGTTAAAGGTTTAGTCCAAGCTCTGTTCTATGGGGAACCTTAGTTTCTGATCTTTCCTGGTTCTCTTTTTTGCTTTCTGCCTACCATGAAGCAAGCAGCTTTCTCTACCACATATCCCTTACTTCCTGCTGCCTTGCCACTGACCCAAGTGACCATGGATTAACTCTGAAACTGTGACCCCCAAGAAAACCTTTGCCCACCGGAAGTGTACCGTTTCAGGTATTATGTGGCACTAACAGAAGTCTGAGAAATGCCGTATAAATTAATAAAAGAAATGATAAGACAATATACATTGTGGTATCCTTAGCAAAGATCTTCAACTTCAGAAGTAGAAGCTGTAGGTAAAAGCTTGATTAATTAAACTTTATGGAAAGTAATGATCTCTCTTCACTAAGGGGAATATGGACAAGACGAACAGCAAGTGACACAATAGCAAAACGGAATCCACATTGTTTAATGTCAATAATAAAACATGTATATGTTAATAAGGATATATACATAGCCATTATAAAATATATCAATAAGGATATGTGTGTGTGTGCGTGTGTGTGTGTATGTGTGTGTGTGTGTTTAAAGTCAGCATCTAGAGAGGAGATAAATAAATAAAGGAATGAGAAAGTATTTATCCCCATGGGCCAGCAAACCTAGAGAGCTGGGTCACACATTGTGCAGGTGGACAGAGCCTCACCATGGCCGACTGCAGGAGTCTGGCTCTCTGGGAGACCTTTGTCTATCTGACAGCCTAATCTCCCTTCCCGGCTGTACCTCCTAAATAAAAAGGGTGATAAGACAGCACACTTCAGGCTTATTCAGTGTGGTTTGCAGTGGGGGGGCGGCAAGAACCGGCAAGAAGAAACGGACCCAACACATTATAAAGTCAATATTTAAACAGTGATGCTGTATAAAACAAGGGACAGGCAGCGTGAGACTATGAATGATGTTTGTACAAGACTAAAGTGCACGTGACAGAGTGGAAATTCAGATATACAAGAATATATACAAAATCAAATATATATTAGGCTGGTGTTCTTATGGAGGGAATATAGGCCCTGATGGTATTGTTAGGTTCCAAGAAATTCCTTTCCCCAAAGCCTGGCATTTAGACAAAAGCCAGCATTCCCTCAAGGACTTAAGAAGATAGTTCCTGCCTGCTAAAAGGATAGTTCCTAGCAAAAGTGGCATATGGCTGATGCATTTGCCTATGACTGTAGTGCCTATTACCACATCAAGGTCTATGGTAGCCCCTAGGCTCCCTCAGTCTCAGCTGGTTGGTATACCCTGCCCCCTACCCTAAACCTCTACATTCCCTGAGCTTTGCTCCCCCTCCCCCAGCTTCTCTGATTCCTATATAGCTCAGCCATTTTGACTACACATTCTCTTGATTCCCTTCTTAGTTCTGCTCTTGGCTCCACACCTGGATATCTCTTCTTCCCTCTCTCTTCTCTTTCTCTCTCACTCTGCCCACCCTCCCTGCATGGGCCAGTTCAGTCTGCTCTTCCAGACACCTTTGGCTGTACTCTCTTCCTCATAACTACAATAGAACCCTGCTCCTCAACCATACCTAGGAGTGGCCATGTTCCCATTTTCATTCAGGTATGAAGAGATGTATTTACATATATAATAGCATGTCTACTTTAAACCCACAGGCAGTTTGAGGGTGAGCATCAGAAATTCAGGTGATTATGCTGTGTAATCAGGACTGAAAGCAATGTTTTCCCAAATGTATCCTCTGGACAATAAATATAACATATAATATAAATTATATGGATAATTTATATATAATATAAAATAAATAAATTTGTATAAATATATAAATGCATATTTATATAAACATATAAATTATACCTAAATGAATATATAATTATGATAAATGTAAATAAATATAAAAGTGAAACCTGGGTCTGACTTCCACCAAGTAAAATATACATAATAGAGCATGTGAATCATAGGAGAGAAGGTGGAAGCACCAGAGAGACTATGATGCTGCCATGAACAGAGAGGAACTGGAATGATAACTTGACTTATATTTTTTCATGTGTTTGTTTTGTTTTAAAATGGTGTGTAAATCATTTGCATTCATTAGAAACCATACTTGGAACTTTGGTCTTTTCTCAGTCTGGTGGAGATGCTGGGAAGCCACAGGGAGTCACCACCCCAGACAATCACGTGATCAGAAGGTACCTATCCAACACCCCAGCACTGTGCTGCTCACATTTCTAACTTAGAACATTTTCAATGTACAATTCACAATGTGTTTTCAATTTACTTGCAAATTCACTTGTAGATGGAAAATGTCCTAAGTTGGAAATGCATTTAGAGGGATGTGATTCAAACATGCTAAGTCAGGGAGCCTAGTGAGATGCAGTGGGAGAGAAGGGGGCTTTACTCACCAGCCTGGCCTTCGGACCTTCTCCAGTCTGAAGGAGCAAAGGAAAAGGAGAATTGGAAAGTCAGGAGGCCACGTCACATTCGTGTCACAGTTGTCTAATCCTCCCTTCCCTCACCACCCACAGTCAGCGTCATTCCAGCCTGGGTATCATACATGGGCAGCCAGGTACGAAGACAGGACAGGGAGTAATGGTTCTGGGGTGGAGGGAACTTACCAAGCTCTGTCTGAAGTCTCTCTGCAAGCAAAACAGAGAGAAACATCAGCCTTCTGAGGCAAAGATTAAGGAACTTTGATGTGGGAAGTCCTTCTGTATGTGTCTTGCCTTTCTTGGTTAATGAATAAAGAAGCTAATTAAGGCCTATGACAGGGCAGAATAAAGCAAGGTGGGAATTTCAAGCAGAGATAGAGGAGAAAAGAAGGTGGAGTCAGAAAGAGGCCATGTAGCTGCCAAAGGAGACAGATGCTCTGGAGTCTTACTGGTAAACCACAAGCGTCAGGGTAAAATATAAAATAATAGGAATGGGTTAATTTAACACGTAAGAGTTAGCTAATAAGAAGCCTAAGCCATTGGCTAACTAGTGCTGTAATTAATATAGTTTCTGTGTGATTTTTCGGGTCAGGGCAGTCATGAACAAATGAGCAGTGTCTGCCTACAGACCCTTAATCTGAAACTACTTCTGACTGCAACTCTCTCCTTGATGCCACATTGCCCTGTAGAAGGAGGCTCATGCCCAGCATTCCAGAGCCTTTAGCCTGTCTTCGAAGAAATCAGCAGGAAGTGGGCCAGGGAGGGAAAACAGCCTTGGTTCTAAATGGTTTTTTTTTTTTCTCAAGGCTCTGATCTAGTTGAAGAGGGAGGTTTATTCTTTCTGAAATCACAAGATTTACCTGGTGTAGCGGGGAGGAGTGGAGGTAGGGAGGCAGAGCACATGATTAAGTCCAGGATCGGGCACAGCCTATGTGATTTGGGGGTCATTTGCTGAATACTTCGTTTAATACTTCATTTAAAGACAGAAAGGGTAATTATTTCTCCCGCCTAGATGGAAAGGATCCAACTCTGTCTTAGGATCCAACTCTGTCTCCTTCGTTTAAAGACAGAAAGGGTAATTATTTCTCCCGCCTAGATGGAAAGGATCCAACTCTGTCTCCGTAACACAGTCCTCTGGTCTCTCCATCCTTTGGATTCCTTGGAAAACAATCAATATACTAATTCAGACTGTGATGTTGACTCACTGAAGTGGTTTTGCTTGGTAGGACTGAATAGGCAGCAATACAGGGCTCTCTACTCTTTCAGTTTTATCTGGAGTTTTCACAGGGCAGTCAAATTTTGGTTCTCTGGATTTTCAATCTAATTATGGGGACCTTCTCCATCTCCCCTTTATTTGGGATCCCTAACCTCCTTTGCTTTTTTGAGACAGGGTCTCTCTCTGCAGCATGGCCTGAAAGTTACCAACCCCCTTGGGTCTGCCTCACTAGTGGAATACTGGGATCTCCAGCCTTTACCAAGGAGCTCAGGCTCCTCAACTTCCTTTGGACGGCCTTCAGCTACACCACACCGCTCCATGGTTTTATGTTGGTGTGTTCTGAAGAGAGGAAAAGTAATTTAACAGAGCATCCCATTTCCGTGCAAGTTCAAGGATCTTTCTTCACAGTGGCATTTGGGTTAAAAAGATGAATCTCAGGAACATGAACTGGAGGGGGTAAAGACTCCAGCAGGGTCTCTTCAGAGGTTCTTCTGTTGAATGAACCCTGAAGCAGTGTGCCCACAGGCACCGCATCTCAGTCTGATCGAAGAAGAAGAGGTGCACAAAGCCAGATCGAGAACCAGATGGGTGTCCTCCTTCTCTTCCTCTAAGGAGCCTAGTGCATTGAATGCCCCTTTCTGCTCCAGAGCTGACCAGCTAAACCCACTTGTTCCGCAGCCTGCCCTGTGGTGAGGAACCCGGAACTTACCCAACCGTGCAATCAGTCTTCCTGAAGACAAAAGAGAAAAAGGATGCTCTCAGAATGGAGAATGACCAGACAGGGCAGATTATGAATATGGGTACCTCGCTTCCCCTAAGGTGTGCAGATTCAGCCCTATGCATCCGGAAGTTCATTTGGGTGCCTGGACACTGTCAATCCGAGCAAACCCTGTCCTCCCCTCTCTACCCTTCTCCTAGATGACCCCTCTAAGACTGAGGCCCTTGCCTTGGAAACCCAGCAGGTCCCTGGACCCTGCTCTGGGACATGGGGAGAGAGCATCTCTGCTGGCTTACCTCTGTCCTTTTCTTCCTGCTTCTTCAGCTTTTCTGAAAGAAAGAATGGATGGGGAAAGCTGAGTCCTGCCCGAAGCTGGCTGTCATTCCAGTCTGGGTTGCCTTCTGCTTTTGTGTCCCTTCATACCTCCCCACACCTCACCCCTTTCCTATTGAGAGACTAGCAGACAGATAGGGAGAGGGATCATGGCTAGGTAATTAAGATGGCAAATTTCCAAGATGACCGGCTTCTTCCTCAGCCTCCTGACTTGAGACAAAAGCCTAGCAGCTTTTGCCTCCCACTGGCAGGCCTGCTGATGGACTGGCTCAACAAGGTCTGATCACAACAGCACATTTGCATTCCAATCAAGCATCCTATCTGTCCTCAAACTGACCAACTCTAAAAGTAGGAAAGGAAGACTCTTCAGTGGCTTTAAAACCCCAGCCCTCCGGAAGAGATCGGATTTTTTCGACTTTTTGGGTTCCGCCTCCCCATCCCCTGGCTACCACCTCCTGCTCCCTCCCCACCCCTTAGCTTCACAGGGGGTCTTTTTCTCTGTCTGTTGCCTGTGTGTGTTTCCTCAACCCCAATAAACGCCGTTTTCAGCTGTCCGCGGTGCTTGAGATTTCTCTGCTGCTACCTGTTGTGCTGCAGATTCCAACCCACCTCCCACCCCCGCCTTTTTAGTTCGCTAACTGGCAGAGAAAACAGACCGGGTCCAGACCATTAGACTGCATCGCTATGGAGCAAATCCAGCTCCAGGGCCTGAGTCATACCTTGGGAGCACCGCTTCTTGTAAAAGTACTGCAGCGCCAGGATGGTAAGCACAGCCAGACTGAGTGGGAGGGCCGCCAGGGTTCCCAGGAACGCTTTCTTCCAGGGGGACGTTCTGGGTAGGAATACATCTGGAAGACATGTCTCATGGGGTTTGTTGTCTCGACTTAGGCGCCACTAGCCACTGAAACAAGACTATCTTGGACCTCACATCCCGGAAAGCCTTGAGGGACCTTAGGATGGCCAGTTACACCTTCCGTGCAAGCCCCTGTAGCCAGGCATGAACTAGACATGAGGGCAGTTGAGCAACCTTCACTCCAGGTAGGATCTGGTGCAGCGGCAGGACTTGGACTGGTGTGAGCGTGGGCAGAGAGAAGGGAGCTCTGTGAACTGAAGATGAACGACAGGTCCTGGTATACCCTTTTCCTCTTATAACCGGGAGATCGCTTCTTCTGGCTGTGATGCTACCCTTGAATGAATCCAACGTGTTTTGCTTTTTAAAACCAGTGAGCTGTTCTATCTGGTTGGAGAATCCACAGGTTGTCACCTGCTTCCTGACATTTATCTCAGTTCTCACAGCACTGGAAGAATTCCCAACAAAGCCAATAGTTTAACCACAGCTGCTTCCAGAACAATCCCCAAGAGTAGGATGCCACTTGTGGCTGCATGCAGGCCAGGGCAGCTCCAAGACTGACCAGAAAATGAGGGGATGAGGGCAAAACTGGAGCGTGACCCTGAAGAAACAGCTGTGTCGGTTTAATAAGGTTTGTGTCTGTGTGATCTAATTATTCAGAGGTAACACATTATCTCAGAAGGGTGTTTCTTTAAAAGTATATCTTTAACCTCTAAGTACAGTAAATTGAGCCTGAGATCACAGTGGATAAAAGCCCTGGTTGCTCTTCTGGGGTCTCATGAGAGAGACAGGCTTTGTATCAAGGAGCTAAATCCTAGCCCTCCTCTTAGCCACACCTATGTGCACATCCGTGTCCATTTCTAACAAGTTTTCATTGTCCCATGCTGTCCACCGAACACTGGCACCTCATTCACTCTTAGCCTCTAGGCTTTTCCCAACCTCTACTTCACTCTCTAGATGAACATGACTGTTCTGGGTACCTTATGTGTTATGCCCAAGTTAGTCATCCCGCAAAAAAGAAACTGCACGGAGCAACCGATTCCGATGTAAGGCACAAGAGGGTTTTTAATATTCCAACTCAAGTTTGGACCACACCTCCAGCAGTGGTTGAGGGAAGGGCAGTCCCAAGCCCAGGAAGGGGGGAGAACTTTTAAAGGGGAAATGCCACAATCCAGGGAGTTTGTGTCCTGTCATCTTGGGATTGCGCAAGGAGGGCATAGGGTAAGGTAGTTTCTGAAACTATTGGTCAGTTTTGGGGTGCAAAAACCCTAACAAAGAGCCATTAATAACTGACAAGGTATCTTCGAAGACAGAATACCTTCTAGAAACATCTGAACCTCATTATTATTTTATTTTTAATTTTTCGAGACAGGGTTTCCCTGTCCTGCAACTAGCTCTTGTAGACCAGGCTGACCTCAAACTCACAGAGATCAACCTGTCTCTGCCTCCCGAGTGCTGGGATTAAAGGTGTGCGCCACCACCATTATGCCTGGACCTCGTTAGATTTTATGGCCCTGGCTCCTTAGCTCCTTAAGGGGCTATTTTCAGGATAACCTTTACAGTTCTGCTATCGAAACACGTTTCTGGAGCTGAGATCAGCCACCACTCATTATGTGGCTTAAGATGAAGCCCCTTCTTTAGAAGAAGTTTGCGAAGTAAGGTCCTCACGTACGTAAGTAAAGTTACATGGTGTTTTTTTCCTTTTGAGTCTGGTTTGTTTTGCTTAGCACTTGTAGTCTTTTTTTTTTAATGTTAGTTTTCTAGAACTCTATTTTCGTGGTCTTGTATGAAGGGGTTGTCCTTCCCATACAGCTCTCCCTCCCAATCTGCTGTTTCCCTGACGTGGTGGCTAGACCTAGGCCCCCTTTGGTCTCTCCACCTGATATCCATTAATAAGAGTGGACTTGTGCGAGTACGTACATATCTAAAGGTCTATATATGTAACCTTAATAATAAACTATAAATGGTATGAATATATATATACATATATATATGATCTAGAAAGAAAACAAAGGAAGGAAGGGAATCCAAACTTTTCCTGATAGTAAAAGAAATTAGTAGCTCTCAGTTTCCCTTTAGGATTTTTTTTTTTTTTTTTTTGCAAATTGCTTATTCCTCTGAGAAGCAAGTAAGTCTATTTGAAAGCTAAACAACTTCGACAGCTTTATAACCTAGGACTGTTGTTCTTCAGGGCTTTCTATCTGACATGCAAACAACTAGGACAAGACACCCAAATCCTTTCGTACTCTGGGAATCTAAATTTAGGGTCCAGCTCCAGGCTGTGGCTTCATGCTTGCCTTAGAGATGGGCATACTTTATTTTCCCTTTGGATAAAGACAGCCAACACAGACTTCCCCCACCACCCAGCTACCAGGGGACTTTAAAATGATCTGTGCATGACAAATAATGCTGCCAAGTTCACCTGCTTAAGGGCTTGTTACAGTTTGTCTTGAGATCATACATGCATAGGTTGTATCTGCCCAATACAAAGGAAGATGGTGTTTTCTAACTATTGATTTAGATTTACAGGAAAAAATAACCCATAGGTTAGATTGGTTTTCAAGGCTTAAAACAATAAAGAGTCAGAAAGATGGGTCAGCTTTAAAAAAAAAAATCAAACACCAAGTTTACGTGCTTCATGTGCTCAGTAGTTTGAATTTTTTTTTGATTTTCTTTCTTTCTTTTTTTTTTTTTTTAGAAAGAGTACATATATTCCAATACTTTGAAACATTTCAAGGTTAAAAAAACATTGTGCCAATTTATAAGGGCAAAGAAAGCACATAATAAAATAGACTTAAAAAAAAAGAAAGATGGGTCAGCAGTTAAGAGAACTTGCTGCTCTTCTAGAAGGCCTATATTTGGTTCTCAGCACCCATATGGATGCTAACAACCCTTGGTAACTCCAATTTCAGGGGATCTTATGATCTTTTCTGGCCTCTGAGGGCACCAAGCACGCAATTGGCGCACAGACATACATGCAGGCCAACAGCCATACACAGAAAATAAAATAAAATTTAACACGTTGGACTTTGAAACCAAGCAATGGATGAAATTTCAACTCTTCGCCTGAACATCTGTTGACCAGAGTCACCTTTCTATAACCCAGAGCTACATGATGTCATCCCCAGGTGCCTTCTTCTGCTTCTTGGGTCTCTCCAGCACTCCCACCTTCTAGGGCATGCTCTTAGTCACTCGTTTTATCATCTGAATCCCTCCTGGGACGGGAGCCATGGTGTCGGGATTTGGGGTTCTACAAGGAGTGGCTTGAGGGATGATGTTAGGAACAGATGAGTTCCCATGATTATCTATAAAGAGCCTTACAAGTTTGTAGCATGACCTATGGTATAGAAATACTGCTTCTCGGGCCTCCTCACTTACTGCTTGGTTGTCAGCTGCACTCTCAGAGTTACTCTTAGCCAAGTAGATTCAGGTTTCAAAGCCAACCCATCCTGTACCCAGCCAGGCCTCAGAATCCTGGGCCAACCAACATGGAGCTTTCAATGATCAGAAGGATACGTGTGAGCCAGTGCCTACTGACCTGCAATCTGGAGCACAAACTCTTTCTTCTGGGCTAGCAAAGGGTTCTGGATTGAGCAAGACACATTACTATGAGCACCTCCTCGGACAGTCACAGATGTGTTCAGACTGAACAGGCCCTGGGCATTCCGAATGATGGCTTCAGACTCTGGAGGAAGGCACTGCCCCCGGTGGTCTCTCCACTGAACCTTGGGCTTGGGGTACCAGCCACTGGAACTGCATTGCAGCCGAATGCCTCCTTCATTGAAGCCCTCAAGGGAGATGAGTGGGTCTGAGCCCAACCCTGGGAAAGCAGGAGTGGGGAAGATCAGGCTTACTTCTAGAAGCTCTGCATACTGTTCACGCCGCTGTTCCCCATCTGAGGTCAAAATATGTCAGGAATTATGACTACTCTTCTTATCGTGTTTGTGAGCTCACGGCCCTCCAGCTATGAACTGCCAAAGAACAGTTTAGATTAGGGATATTAGGAAATACTCAGAGGAAGGCTATATGTATTTAGTTATAATGTGCAATAAATGACCCCACTACAATGAAGAGTCATCGCGCCCAGAATTCCAATAGACCATCCTCTGTTAATTCTCACTAAATCTCAAATGCCTATGACATACGCAATTCTTTCACAGTCAAATAGAGCTGGCTCTGTTATCTATATAGCTATCATTTGTCATTTAGGTATCAATTTATGTGCTAAGAGTCAAAGCCAGCTCTTGTTCATCTATGTAAACATCCTCTCACTGACCTATGTCCCCAGCCATATATTTTAAGACTTATAAAATGTCAATATGTGTGTATGTATGTGTGTACAATATATCTTGAGTCCATTTTTGTTGGTAGTATGTATATAGCTTTAAGGCTGACCACTCAGCATGCATGTAACAATAATCCTCAAAGAAAAAAAGATTTATCAACTTGAGAGTTGGGGGTATGGGAGGGGCTTGAGAGACTCTGGAAAGGGTTGGAGAAAGAAAAGAAGGGGGGAGAATAGTGATGCAATTCTATTTAAATAAAAAAAACATATTGGAATGATATATAAAATAAGTATCAGGAAAGCCCCAGACTTTTCTCCACTAATTTTTATTCCTTAAATCCTTACTACTTAGATAACCAATTCTATTCGCTTCTAGCCTGTGCTGCTTACATTTCTTCCTGTGTTAGTCCCCTTTATTTCTTGTTCATACAAATAAACATCATCAAATTTCTTTACATCTGTTTTTCCATCTTCCTAATGGATTCTAGTAATCCCTACACATCTGCTCATTGAGCTCCTTGTCTTTCTAGCTTCAGAATGTGGACAGTGGTGATGGAGCACGCTGGCACTAAGGAAGCTTCAGCACTCAAGAAACTCTAAGCAATACTGCACAAATTAATCTTGCACAATTGCCTGTTATACCTTGATGTCACTTTGAGTCACCTTGTTCTTAAGGGCTAAAATTACCCTTTCAGCTGTTTTGAAGTCATTCAATATTTTTTTTATAAACTTTTCTCCCTTTTATTTGCTGCCTATAGATTTTATAGGATTTCTTTCCTCTTTTTTTAACTTCTAGAAAACCTTTTTTTCTTTCTTTATTTCCTGGTACTGGGGATTGAACCATGGCCTCGTGCATGCTAGGCAGGCACTGGATGGACGTCTGAAATATCTCTTCAATCCCCACCCGATGTTTTAACATAGTGTGTGTGTTTGTTCTCAATCTGAGATTTCCCCCACGCGGTTATGTCTCCTGGCGTGTAAGGCAGCTCTATCCAATCCGATCCTTTACTCCGTCTCCTGCTCCCGGCTAACTCCGGAGCATACCTGCTACTTCCAGCTCCCACGTGGCTTCTCCAGAGAAGTTGTGGGAAAGAAAGCGGCACCCATATAGGCCCTCATCGGAGGGAGTCACGCTGAGGACATGCAGGGTCACGCTGCCATCCATGATGTCATTCGCTTCGAACACGGTCCTGTTGCGGAACTCTGGCATCTGCGGGTCGGAGAGCCCCTGCTGTTCCTGGTACAGGTACACCACGTTTGAGACCTGGGTCCGGAACCAGCGGATCTCCATGTGCTCTGCATCCTGGTATGGCGACAAGTGGCACGGGAACTCAGCCGTTTCCCCGACAAGAGCCAACATGGAGTCTCCAGGGCCCAGCACCCTGACCTCGTCTAGGACAACAATTCAAAACAATAGCCAAGATCAATCCACTTAAAACTTAACTTTTTAAAATTCACTTCCCTTTGCAGATCAGAAATCTACAGCAAACTATTCAAATGACCATGATGAGTTGCTCTCCGAGGACAACCCGTGTGGTTTCCTGGAGAAGAAATTGTCATGAAAAAAGTCAGAGTGTAAGTTAAAATACATATATACACACATTCCAACCAAGTGCACTGTGCAGGGCTGGACTGGTTTGAATCAATCAAGAGTAGATGCTATTTGGGGAGCTGTGTAAATATGGTCAGGAGAGCACACTAAATGCAATGTTTGACAAAATATTATGCCTGTGATATAGAATAGAGAATTTGCATATTTGTGCAAGTACGCTAAGAAAAATATCTTGGAAGGGAGATGCCATATGGCTGATGGCGGTGATTTCTGCACAATGAGAATGGAAAGTCTTATTTTGTCTTAGTTCGGATTTCTTTTGCTGTGATAACTGCCATGTCGAAAAGCAAACTGAGGAGGAAAGGACTTATTTCATATTACAGGCAAGTCAAAGCAGAGACTCAGGGCAAAAGCCTAAACGCAGGAACTGAAGCGGAGGCCATGGAGGAACGCTGTCTACTGTCTTCGCTCTCTGCAGGCTGCTCAGTCTGTTTCTTCCATAGCCCTGGAATCCCTGCCCAAGGTGGTACTGCACACAACGGGCTGGGCCCTCCCATATCAATTATTAATTTTAAAATGCACAGGCTGGCATGCAGGCTGTTCTTATGGAGGCATCTTCTCAGGTGTGCTTCCCTCTACTCAGGTACCCCTGACTTGTGTCAAATCGACAATAAACTAGCTAGGACAGGCGGGTTCACAGTGTTTATCAATAGAATGCACATGTACAGCTTCTACAAAAACAAAATATACAGGAACATAACCTATGGCCTGCTGTGCTCCGTCGATTTTAATATTTAAATACCCACTGAGTTCTACGGCTGAGAGACTTGTCACCACCTTTCCCTTGGACATTTCTCTTCTTCTGTGGGGTTGCCAGGTGCTCTCTCTGCTGTCCTTAAATTAATCCATTTCTTCCTTTCCAAACTCAGCTACAACTTCTTCCCCAAGCTTAAACATCCCAGATCTCCCTCCACATCCTTCGCTTTGCCCCATAGATCATATGTCAAGTTGGACAAAACCTTTTGCCTCCTGGATGATTGCTGGTTAATCCTAACCACCCTCCTACACGTTCACTCTCCAGGGTCTCTTTAGTCCGCTTTCTCACACCCCTGAGGTCTCTCTGTCATCCCCCCTTCTTTCTCTCTTCACCCCATCCCAGTTCGTCCTCCATCTATTTCCTTCCCAAGGAATGCGTTCTTTGCAAAGCTTTCCAGGAAAAGAGAATTGCTCTAGCTGTGCTTATCTTTGCTCCTGGGAAGTGTATATGGGAAACGGGCTGGTGAACCGATGGAAGAGCATCAAGTACTATGGCCCTTTAACAGCTGGTATGGAAGTAGAGAATGGTGAGATATAACTGCAATCCCCGCACTGGGGAGGCGGAAGCGTGGGGATCGTGAATTCCAGGCCATCCTGGGCTGCATAGCAGGAACCTGTCTCAAAGGCAAAACAAAACAACAAAAACAAAAACAATGACAAAAACAAATAAAAAATAAACCAAACAAACAACAAACAAAAAATTCAAAACCTTGCATGGGAATACTTTACATTTTAGCAGTTAGTATTGTCTGCTGCTGCACTATGAGGGCCAGTTCCCAGAGGGCACCCAGCAAAGATACTCATATCGTACCTGGGTGCATTGAATATGGCTGCAGGCCAAATACATTACCTGAATCTACCTCTCCCAAGCAGAGGATGAGGAGAAGAGGGGTGAAGAAGATGCTCCTGCACCGAGGCACTTGCTTCAGAAACCCCATGAACACTGAGAAATCTGCCATCTGTCAGCAGTGCGGGCCACCTAGAAAACAATAAACATGCTAGGTGAAGTGGGCAGTGAGCCTCCGCCCAGCAGGCTTGAGATCAGCTGCTGTCTCAGTTATTTGTTGTTTTCTGATTTTGGAGTTTTCACATCAGGCCCATGGCTTCTTTTAAACCCTGAGGGGACGTGAGAACTGCTTCTAATTTTACCAGGTAATGTTGTTACCATTGGGCTTGTTGGAATTCATGGAACTGTGAGAGAACAGGACTGAGGAGTCCCAGAGGAAGCCAAGTATTGTTTAGAGGCAGGAATGGAGTCATACATTGTGTGGGTGCTCAGTGTCACCCTCCTCTGGGTTAGAGACACTCCCCCAGGGAATGGGAAATCTCAGAAGAATCTCAAATGCAATTTTATCTCCCTTCCTCCCCACCACTGTGTACAATTGTCTTTGCCCTGGAACATCAGGTTCGTAAAACAGAAGAACAGAGAATTGTTTTTTTTTTTTTTTTTTTTAACCCAAAACAGAGTATATATCTGGTGGCTGCCTGCCAACTTTTTGGACATTCTGGGACAATTTCATCTATTCTGATCCCTTAGGTAGTGCTTTCAGGGAGTTAGCTAGTCGCTGTTCTTGTGTTTATAGCATCCTTAGGCCCAGCTGATAAAGGCAGACCTCTGGCAAACCCTTCTCCCTCCTGTGGTCCAGAAGACTAAGACTCATCCCACACAGAGCTGTCTCCTCTAGTTCAAAGTCCCCCTTGGGCTCTGTGTTAGCATCTAAACCTAGCAGCCAGCCAGTCTCATGTGGTTACCCATCTTGGAGTGCATCAAGTCTCTCCACATAGCTTCTTTATTTAGTTGTAGGATTTAAGGCAGGTTTTGTCGCTGAATGAACCCCAATGTTTGTGCTTGAGCAATGGAAGGACCCAACGTCAAGGGGAACGCTTAAGGCTTCTGTGAGTTGACAAGATGTTGTTTAAATTGCATGTGGTGGTGCACACCTGTATCCCAGCATGCAGAAGACTGAGGCAAAGAATCATGAATGTAAAGAGAGCCCGGGCTACATAGCCAGACCCTGTCTCAAACATAGAGATAAAGTAACACTCTATAGATAGAGGTCGCCACCTTCTCCCTCTCTGTCCACGTTCAAAACATCAGTTTGCCACTGTCGTCTAGAAACTGTTTATCCCAGCACAACAGTTCCCCACCCCACCCCACCCCCCACCCCCGGGGAAGGAATAGTCACTGGATTTTTACTCTTCATCCCAACTCACTTTTTTTTCTCTATCTTTTGCCACCCTATTTGCAATGGCTTAGTGAGGCTTGCATAGCATTTCCTCCTGCTGAGAGCCAGCCACACCGACTGTAAAACCCTTGGCAAAAGATGTAGAATTCTACAGTAGAGAAGCAGTCAGAGAAGAAGGAATTGATGAGGGCTTCTCAGAGTGGCCCCTGGGCTAGAAGGACCCAGACAGGTAGGAACACAATAGTGGGGTTGGGAGGGCAATGGCCTGAGAAGTGAATGTGCCAGGTCCTGGGGCTTTGGAGCTCAGACTCAGATGTCCCGGAGGGAAGACAGAGGAGCAAGTTGGGGCCACTCCCTCTGTGTTTCCCTTTAGAGGGAGGCGGGCAGATAGCCCTCTGGAGCCAACTTGTCTGTTTGGATGGTCAGAACTTAGTGAGGTCATTAAGTTGTGCAACAACTAACAAGACCAGGGGTCCTGGGCAGAGAGCAAAGCTCTGGAGGAAAGTAAGGCCTCTTGTCTGTGGCTGAGGATGGACATGTGTATGCGTCTATCTGTGGCTAATGATGGGCGTGTGTATGCGTCTATCTGTGGCATCTCTGGCAAGTGGCAGCAATGCATCCGAAGCCACACTGGCTTTGTATTCGTCCCTCATCTTGTTTCCTTCCCTTCTCTTTTGTGCCTCGGCCCTGTGGACTGGACAGAGCTTAGAGTCCCAAAAAGAGCAAAGCCACATGGGACGCACCACCACCCAGATAGCAGCTCGCAAAGCAATGGAACCAAGGCTATATATACGGGTCCAGTTGGGTGAGCTCCAATGTGAGGAATCAGTCAGCTGCGTCAAGTGGTGTCATGGGTCCACTCAAGAGAGGCTGTCAGGGCATCAGACGGGAGCCTAGTGAACCCTTGCTCTGGTTAGTTTAGAAAGAGTGTCTGTTCTTTACCAAGGAGTAAGCAAGGGGGGGGTGCGTTTCAGAACCGCTAGAGGATTCCCCGTTCTCTGCTGTCATTTCTCTGTTGTGATACACACACACACACACACACACACACACACACACACACACACGTTCCACCACCAAAGCCACAGGAAAAGAGGCTGAAAATACAGGGAGCACATGTACACACAGCCCGCCCCCATGCACACGCAACTCATCCATAAGCCCACAGCAATAACACTAACATAAATGGAGCACTTATTCATCCAACACTCACCCACATCATCAGTATTACTACTTTGACCAATAAGCTCAAATTACATGGGGGCCCCTTTGCACACAGCTATTGGGTGGTAGAGTGAAGTTTCCAGCCCAGCTGTGCATACAGCTCCTGTTCTCTCTGATCCAGCTTCCCACCAGCTGTGTTGTGTCAGGTCTGGCTTCGGCTTTCATGCGCATCAATAACCTGAAACCATAACGCTGTTAGGGACCGCCCAGCCGCGAGCAGCGCTATGCCCAGCTGCGCTGAAGAAGAGACTAGACCACACGGTATCCAGCTCCAAAACCAATCAACTAGTGAATTCAAATTGTAAATTGTAAAAAGTAAAGAAACTTAAATCAAAGTGTCCCTAAGACTTTGTCACTAGCATCATCTCAGATAGGAGTCACGGATACTTAGTTCCTGTTCAATATTCAAGGGAGTCTGCTGGATAACCTTTCTTTCATTGGAAGCCAGTGGTCTGGCGACTTCCAGAAGGGAATAGAAGAGATTCTCCTAAAGTGACTTCGTGGCAAAACACCACACCCCTCCCCACGGTTGCCTTGATGTCCCTTCCCACCTGCCCTTCGGCTACAGGTGCCAACCCTTCCAGGAGTGCAGCTGTTCCCTAAAAGGAAACACTCTTTAGTTCCAGCCACTTGCACCAAGGTTGAAACAGGCTGCAGATTCTGACACTGGTGGAGACTTTGGCTGGAGAAAGGAAGAAGCTAGACATGTTGAATATGGGGTGAAGATGGAGACCTTGGTGAAGAGGCCTCAGACCTAGCTAAGTTGTGTTGGTGGGGACCAAAGTCTCACAGCTCTGCTGGGAACCCCTGGGATGTCCCTTTCTGAAGACATGAAGGATGAAGGGCTCCTCGTGCACACTGAAGTAGCGAAGCCCATCTCTCACCTCTTCTGTATGACTCTGCTGCCTTTGCAAACAGCAGTTGGTGTGCTTCATCATGCAGCTACCCACATAAGCTCCAGAGGGCAATGAGCCGTCCGCACTTCCCTCCTCATTCCCACTCCAGTGTCCACTACTACTCGGTAGCCTACACTGGCGTGATTGTAGTTAGCCGGAAAGAGGATTTCCACCCTCTTAGTCTCTAGGGCCTGAGTTGCCTTCAGAGGGGAGTCCCGAAAGAATGAACCCTTTTCGTCTGCAGCGGGGAAAGAATGCGTCTGAGTCTTGCCCCCTCAGAGGGCCCAGTCTGAATGGGCATCTCTGCTAAGACACCCAAACACCTCACAAAACCACCAGGATCAGGCAATAAAAGCTTCTCTCTATGATATGCCTCCCCCAGGGCCTCTCTCTGTCCTCTGCTTTCTAGAAGGTTCATACAGGTATTACAAAGGAGCCACATACCTTTCAGGAAACAGCGAAAGGGCCAAGTGGCAGATGGGTGCTGGTAATCTTGTCTCCCTGTAAAAAGGATGATGGTGAAGTGTTAGTCCCTGATGCTTAAGATTCTTTTGACGCAGACTGGCAGCTGAGCTCAGGAAGCGGGGTGCAGTTTATGAATGACAGAAATACTCACCCACCTTCCACCTTAGGCCATAAGCCCTTGACTCTGCCCTTTGTTATAAAAACCAGAATAGAGAGAACAAAACGAGGAAGTCTCCGTCATATCCTGTCCCTGTGAGGAAAATCACAAGTTAAATTCCCATAGAAAATATCTCTCCAGGGTCTTAGAAAGAGGCCAAAGGTACCTGAGAACTTTATCAGAACAGGCTGTATCTGCAGAGGCTAAGAGGGTGGAGCCCTAACTGGCCACCCAGGATCGCTGGGTGGGTCAAGCTGAACATCCAGGGAGCAGCACCGTTATCCCAGGCTCTCTTCCTGGTCACATTGAAAGACCCGGAGACTGGGCTCCAATCTCCATTAAGAGTTGGAAAATGCTTTCGTGCCCAGCTCCTACTTAACCCATCATATTCCTCCGCAGGGAAACACCGGCAAGGAAGTAACCTGGGAACATTGCCACAAGCAGACTGACAACAGCTGTGCACACACAGCTTGGAAGCGGTGGGGTATACACATCTCTATGGTGAAGCTGAGCTCCACATGGAGCTGAATGGAAATAGAAGAGAGGCTGGCTAGAGGTGGGAGAACCCACTCCTCTCTCGAGTTCGTCAGAGAAGGTCTGTTCATCCTCTTCAAGTCTCTCCAGCCATTTGTTTCAGCTCTGTCTGCACCTCCAACCCTCATCCTTGCTTTTCCAACCTTCGCTCTTTGCGTTCTTGCCTCCTACTCTCTCCACTGAGCAGGGAAGCAACGCCGCCATTACACTCACTACCCATGCATGGGATATCTTATCTGCCTCTTTTCTGTCAATCAACACTCTTTCCAAAGATCCTGCTCAAAATTCCTGCCGGGTGGGTGAATCTGACCTCTTCCTGTGTGCATGCCTCTTCCCTCTCAGTCTTGATAAGGGGGATCTGTGAATGGGACCACCACAACCATCAGAGTAACGATCCACAGGAGGCGAGAAGGTAGTTTGGTTCAATACAACTAGTAGCCCATGTTGGCTCAAGCTCTAAGAGTGTTACCCTAAATAGTTTATTTTAGGCATATGTGAGCACAGCACAATTTAGTGAAAACTTTTCTGACAATCATTAACTCAATCCCATGTGCATAATAAGTCACAAAATAGGCTAAGTAAAAATTATATGTGACTACATAGAAACCCCTTAGAAAGTACACATAAACCTGCAATAAAGATCTATAGATTGCCTGAGAAAAACAAGCTTACAATAAGGGTCTGGGGGAGGACAGCCGTGAGGGTGGGGTGGGTCTCAGTCACGCATACAGTGCAAAGGTCATCAGGCTGTTAACCATGTCTACTCACAGCCTCACTGGGCAGCTAAGTGGTTACGCATTTCTTCTTTTGAGGGAAAAACCCTGTATGTTTAATACTCCAGGTTCCCTTATTGTTCATCTGTGAGCCCAAGGACCTCATTTCCTCCTCTATCTCCCCTCCCCATTTTTAAGAAAAAAAGGATGGTTGTGACAGAGGCTAAGATTGAGTGCATCGCCTGTGTGGCTAGTATAAGTAATATAGTCAAGCAAAACAGAATTCTAAGACTAGCTAACACTCACGGAGGACCCAGAAAAGGGACAAGCCATCTTAACCATGATGGCTACTCAAAGGTCACTTGAAAGATATTGTTTATCTCTTTATGCAAATCACGAATTTGTCCTTTGGTAGTATGAGGGAACTCTGATACATGAAAGCAACACAAGACAAGAAATTGTTGACAATCAAAATTATGCTTGACCAACAAATAATCTATAGTAGCTTTATTTTGTAAAACCATGGCTCTCAGTTTGCCCATCTTCTAGCTAATTTCTGCTAATATTTTTGCTATAATATTAATGATTTTACTAAACATGCACGCCAATTTTTATAAATATTTATTATTATTTATTTGTTATGAATATAATGATCTGCCTGCATGTACTCTTTCAGGCCAGAAGAGGGCACCAGATCTCATTACGGGTGGTTGTGAGCCACCATGCTGTTGCTTAAGAACTATGGAAGAGCAGCCACAGCTCTTAACGGCTGAGCCATCTCTCCAGTCCGCCATTTTTTTTTCTTATTTTTACATGCTAACGAAAGTTTCCCCTCCATCCTCTCTTCTTAGGTCTCCCTCCCCTCCCCTGCATCCACTCCTCCACTGTTTCTCTTCAGATACAGTCAGGTATCCCATAGATATCAGTCAGCCATGGTATATCAAGTGCAGTGAGAACAGGCATGTCCTCTTCCACCAAGATGGGATGCGGCAATCAGACAGGAGGAATGGGTTCCAAAAGCAGGCAGCAGAGTTAGAGACCCCTGCTCTCACTGCTAGGAGTCCCATAGGAAGACCATGTTACACAACTGTAATATATATGCAGAGGGCCTAGGTCAGTCCCATGCAGGCTCCCTAACTGCCACATACAGGCTATTTTTGAGACCTCTCTGTATTCTAGAAATCATTCCTGGGACTGGTCATAAAAAAGCTGTCATGGATGCAACCATTACAGGATGCAGTAGATGCAAAGAATCATCACAACTTTGGGGAAGAGCTCTTGATTCCATTGACTAACTGCAAAGATTTATCAAACATAATGGATGTAACACAGCCTGTATCCCACATAAGCCTTTATGATCCTCAGGAAGGGCAGTATATGTAGCATTTTCCCAAAGGCCGTTGTTACCAGAGGAAACCGTATGATTGGAGGTGGAATAAGAATAAAGAGGAATACAAGCACATTTAAAGCATAAATGATGCTAAAAAAAAAAAAAACACCATTGACAGAAATATCAGAGGAAGCCCTGTGGATATGGGTGCAGGTGGACTCTAATGCATATGAGTAATTCCTAAGCCATAAAAAAAAAAATTTTAGAGCCCAGGAGTAGATGGGTCTCTTCTGATGCAAAAAGTGGCTCTTGTTGACTGCTATGTGCCAAGTGAAGCCAGAGGTTATTTTCAAAACCATTAGTAACAGATAGAGTTATTCTGGGTACAATGGTATCGGTACATCAGATACTCCTTTGCTCATCTTCATACAACCGTAATTTCCATTATCAGAGCTTTCTGAAGAGTACCTAATTATGCCTAAATCTACGTTATTGCATTTGGATTGATTAATTAGATTAGTTCAACCAAAATAGCCTCCATTCATGTGAGTCAATATTTCTATAATATCTTTTTCCAGACAATTGGTCCTGACGGGAAAAAAAAGCAATCCTTAGCATGGCAAAACAACAATGTACTGTCTCCTATTACAGGAATTTGGGTTCTGCACTGACAAGCGGAGAATTAACGTATAATATGATCGGTAAGCATAAGAGCATCATTTTTGTGTCGGTAGTATTGTGTCCTTGTTGTCTCCAAGGTCTTGACTTGATAGGTTAAAATCTTGATGTCTCCCCAGGTCATCGACTTACTCTTCTCTTGGGTCATCTCCCTCAATGAGTTTGTCACCTACCTTCAGATGCTTCCGTTGTCCAGTGGTCACTGGGATGTTGTCCTGTTCAGGGGCACCAGAGCAGATGCCATCTGGAACTTCATTCATTTTGGGGGAAGTAAAAAAAGTAACCTCAACCTGATCTTAAAAGAACTCCAGCCCTTTCTATTGACTAGTTTCTAGATATTTTCATTTAACATATACTTTAGGATGTGTCTCCTTTAGGACAAAAATTCTTTGGGGCAGCAGCAGAAGTATTGTCTTTTAAAGTGAAAAAGACTAAAGCCAGCATGGTTAAATGTGGGGGGGAGGCTAGATGTATGTTAAATGTATGTGGGGATTAAATGTATGTTAAATGTAGGGTTAAATGTACGTGAAGATTTCAGTGGGTTTGTATATACCCTCTTTCTATTTTTAAAATTTACTGTTTAAGTATTTGACAGTGTTTTTCCACACAGTTTATCCTTGTGGATTGTAAGGGATTCCAGTAACATGATTAACAATCCATAAATTGCAAAATTTTTAAAGCATTTTCTAGTATAAGCAGCACCAACATCAGTTTTTAGTTATAGTGGGAGTCCTAGAAAGAAAAAGGTGTCTAATAATGACAATAGTATCATGGGTTATTTCACCCCGATGAATGGAAACAACAACCGTATTAGAGAAGTATCAAGTGTTACATGAACGTATTTTAAACTAGTTTGTCTAACGTGATTGGTTTTAACGTGCCAGTATTAATTGGGCCAGCAGAGGGCAGTAGTGTGAAAGAACAAGATGGTCTGTCCAGCTTGCTTGAGGAAAAATGGTTGTACATGTAAGGATTTTGCATTTTGATAAAGTTCATGAGACTTTTGAATATCCTGAAAATAAAGCATTAGAGGTGAGGAGGGGGCAGCACATCGGCTTGAAGAAAAGAGGATGTTAATGTACCCGGTAGATTAGAAGGAGCACAAAAAGAGTTATGAAAAAATACCGAGACTGTTGTCTCATAGACGTCTGAAGGGAGAAATACACAGTGAAATAACATTTGTAGTGGGGTTGGGTTTAAATTTGAAGTTTCTAAAAGAGAAACAGTTTTAGAACAGTTTTCAGAGTCGGTTAAAATATTCAGTTGGCAAACAGAGAGACTGGTCATTTCCTGGCCGCCTGGACGTGAATTATCAATCACATAGAAACTATATGAATTACAATACTGTTTGACCAATAGCTTATGCATATTTCTAGCTAATTCTTACATCTTAAATTAAATCATTTCTATTCATCTGCGAATCACCACAATGCTGTGGCCTACTGGTGAGGTTCTGGCTGGCAGCTGGCGACTTTCTCCTTCGGCAGCTACATGGCAGCTCTCTGACTCCACCTACTTTCTCTCTATCTCTCTGTTCAGATTTCCCACCTGGCTTTACTCTACTAAACCATTGGCAGAAACAGCTTCTTTAATAACCAATGGTAGTAAAACATATCCATAGCATACAGAGCAGAATCCCACATCATTCAGTGACTGAGAAACACC